AAGACATCTCCAACAAAATACTAGTGAGCGTAATTCAACAGCATATTAGAGGAATCATATATCATGGCCAACTGGGATCAGTGCAGGGATGGCTGAAAAGTAGAACATATAATGATGCACCACATCAATAGAACAAAGGAAAGAACTATATGGTTCTCTCGATAAATGCGAAAAATGCATCTGATAAAATCCAACACTTTTTCTTCATGGGAATCCTAAAGAATGGAATAGTAGAAAAATCATTCTTACTATGCAGGGTATATATAAAAATCCAATAGGCAACAATGACTGAACCATTTCCCCCTTAGCATCAGGAATAAGTCAAGGGCTTCTACCCTCACTACTTTTAGTTAATATTTTATTGGAAGACACAGCCAGAATAAAAAATGAGAAAAAATAGAAAGTACCCAGATTGGACATGAAGAGGTGAATTTATCTCTATTTATACACAATATGATACCAAAGAGTCCACAGAAAGCAACTTCCAGAATTCATAGAGAAATGTAACTAAGTTACACAATGCCAGGTCAGCAAGCAGAATCACTTGATTGTCTATACAACAGCAATCAGAAATCTGAAAGGGAAATTAGGGAAACAATCCCATTTATGACAGCATCTAAGATAACAAAGTACTAGGGATAAATCTAAACAGGAATGTGAAGGACTTATATAATGAAATCTATAAAACATTGCTAAAAGAGATGAAGGAAAACAAATAACTAGAACATCATAAAAATTAGAAACTTTTGCTTATCAAAAACTTTACCAATAAAGTAGAAAGCCAAGCTATCAACTTGGAGAAATATCTTGAGGAACTATAGACTCAACAAAAATCTAATAACTAAAACATATATAAAGCTTTGACAACTTAACAAAGGGGCAAATAACCCAATAATAAAATGGGCTTGAATAGATATTTCACAAAGAGGGCATTCAAATGGCCACCAAATATATGAAAAGATGCTTGGCATCACGAGCCATCAGAGATCCAAATGAAAACTACAATGAGCTGCCATTTCACTCCCACTAGGAGGACACAGATCAAATAATAATAATAATAATAATAATAAACAACAGAGCATTGTCAGTGTTGGGAGGGCATGGAGAAATTTGAACCCTCATTTAAAAAAATAGCTTTGATATAAAATGCACATGATGAACTTCTATAGTTAAGTCACTTTTAAAAAGAGTTGTATATACATCATCACAATCAGTTCTAGTGCTCCCTCCCTCACCCTGGATTCATGATTGGCTCCCCAATTCCCCTCCCCCTCCCCATCCCCCACCCCTGATAAACCATTGTCTCTATGCATCCACTCCTCATCTGCTTCATAAACTGGGAAATCTAACTGAAACAATAAAAAATGAAACAGAAAGAAAATAATAATATAAAGATAAAAATAAAGAGAACGAAAAGAACATCAGCATCATTAAAGAAGCCAGAGAAGAAATTTTGTCATAGAACAAGTGAGAAATATTTAATCCCAGAGCAAATTCAGGTTGGGTCAAGCAGGTCAACTGACCAAGTATCATATTACACCATAATATACCAAATATCATATTATACCATAGTTCCATCCACCATAATCAAGTTTACAATAATCTCTATTTGATAAAGCTGCTCACATCCCTCACCTGTGGTGAGAGGGGATCTACCCGAACTTAATCTCACTAGATACTCTGCATATGGATACTCTGCATTTGGGCTCCCACTGTCCTTCTTAGCCTTCTATAAATTAGGTGTTCACAATTTAAGTTCTGATACTTTTCCTTTCATCATATTTTGATTTTGTAATGATCATCTTTAGACCACACAGGATGGTGTGCTTCTTCCATATGGACTTAGTTGATACCTCACTTAGATGTTTGAATACAAGCCTTTAAGACCCCAGACAATGTTCCAGTCACCCTCTGCTTTCTTCACCACACTTTTCAGGGGTACCCTAATCTTGAGTGATCTCTTAGTGAATGCATGTATCCGACAGGGCCATGTTATAGAACTGTTTTTGGATTGGGGCTAGAATTAAGTGGGAGCCCAGAATCCATCTGCTGGTCCACATTTATGTATGAATGACTCTGATTTACTTTAGCAGTCATATTATGAAAAACAAAAACAAACAAACAAGAAAAAACATTTTCAATCATTAATTACATCGATAACATCAATAATTTATTCAAAGACAGAATTTAAGGTACGGCTATGAAGAGTTAATGTGAGTATAGTCCAACTGTGAGCTGCCCTCTAGAAGTTGCTTTGTACATAGTGATTTCTTGATTGAGCTCTGGTTACACAGAGCATGGGGGTTGGTGCATGGAAAATGTTCCTGTAACCTTCCTTACAGGGGCAGATCCTTGCCTATCAGATTAATCCCTGTCATATTAACGAAAGGGGAGCATTGAGATACTAAATATATGGTAGTTCTGGGTCCCCTTTCATTTGGACACCTGCTAAGCTAGGGGTCCTACCCAAGGTCCAACAACTACCATTTCCAGTCTTGGGGTGAATATCAGGGAATTTCAGTTCTAAGTCGAAGGATTACAGATTGTTTTTAAGTAGGGCCCAGTTCATTCAGTCAGGCTTCCATGTGGAGTCATACTGGTGTATCCCTGGGGGAATGCCATGTTCCCTGTAAGGCCAGTGTCCAAGGTCATCATAGTGCTCAGTCCATAGTGTGATTCACCAAGGCTTAAATAAGTGTCTACTTGGGAACATAGAATCGATTGATTCTCCCCTTAGTTCCCCTACACTTACTACTTTGCATCCTTTCCCAATATGAGGTTGCTCCTCCCCATTTACTCTCCATACCCACCAACAGCAATATAAGTGCTTCCTCTGAAATGTAGATGCTCCCCAACCCTGGTCTTAACTTGATATTCCAATAAAGTTCTTCTCATTCCTGTGGAGTGTCGGTTGATTTCTCTCAGCCTTGTCTCAGTGCTGTATGAAATCGAGAGAATGGTCTTCTCCCTTTTCTCGATTCTTGAAGGAGTGATCCCAACCAACGTGAGGTCTCCTCTTACAAGGAGGCTCTTGTGAAGTGTGGATAAGGGTATGGTATGTGGTTCGTGGCCAGCAGACAGACTTTCTACCACTTTCTTTGGGAATTGTTCTCCAAAACTTATGTAGTTGGTGTTTCTCCTTATAGTAGTGAACGAATACAATATGTGTCCTTTGGGGATTGGCTTACTTCATTCAGCATAATGGTTTCCAGGTCCCTCCATGTCATGCAGTGTTTCACACTTTCATCACTTTTTTCTAGGAATGCCTGGCATTCCACTGGATGTATGTACCATAATTTCTGTATCCATTCAGTCACTGTTGGACATTTGGGCTGCTTCCAGTTTCTTGCTATTGTGAACTCGGCTGCTATGAACATGGGAGGGCATACATCCACTCGTGCTATGTCTCCTGTTTCTTTGGGGTATATACCTGTGTTAGTCTGGAGGACAACAGAAATGAATCCAGAGACACGCAGAAGAGAGAGCTTTATATCAGAGTAATTGCATATTAAGAAAACATCTCAGTCTAGAACAAGTCCCTAAGTTCAATATTAGCCCATATGTCCGATACTAGTCCATAAATTATTCTACAGACTCATGTAGGAAGATCACAGACCAGTGGGCGGAAAGTCTTGTGGATCCAGTGGCAGTGGAAGCATCACAGGACGGGCGTGGGTCTCCACAGCTCCTCCAGCTCCAGGGCTCTGGCTGCCATCAGCATAACTCCATGTGGCTTGTCAACAAGAATGTGTAGCAGAGAGAAAGTGTGGTTCTCCTCCGGGAGAAAAAGAGGAAGTTCCCAGAATCCTCCTGGTGGGTGTTACCTGGTGACCTGATTGACGGGCTAGAGTCCACCCCTACATTCTATTCATCTAGCTGCATGAAACTACGTAACTACCACAATGCCTAGTAGTGGTGTCGGCGGATCATATGGGATTTCAATTGCAGGTTCCTTTAAGTATTCTCACACATTTTCCATAGGGGTTGTACATATGTACAAGCCCACCAAGAGTGTCTATGACTTCCATTTGCTCACAACATCTCCAACATTTGTTGTTTTCTGTTTTTGCACTGGGCTAACATCGTGGGTGTAACGTGGTATCTCATTGTGGTTTTAATTCGCATCTCCCAGAAGCCTCGTGACCATGAGCATTTGTGTGTGTTAGCCATTTGGACTTAATATTTGGTGAACTGTCTGTTCATGTCTTCTTCCCATTTCTTAATTGGGTCGTTTGTTATTTTCTTATTGAACTGTTTTAGAGTTCTGTAGATTTTGGCAATTAGACCCTTGTTCAATGTGTCATTGGTTAATAAAAATTTCCCAATCTATGGGCTCTTATTTTACTCTTTTGATGAAGCCTTTCGTGTGTTTGAGTGATGTGATTTCAGCATGCCCCAGTCATCTATTTTGTCTTCTTCTGTGTGTGCTTCCTTTATTATACTTGGCAGTCTGTGTATGCCCTGCAATAGGGCCCTTAAGCTGTGAACCCTTAGTAATTACTAATGAGAATGAAAAATGGTACAGTTATTGTGGAAAACAATGTGATATTTTCTCAAAAGACTAAATATAAATCTGCCATATGACCAAGAAATTCTACTGAGGTAAATACCAAACATTTTGGAAAGCAGAGACTGAAAAATAAATAAGTACACTAATGATCTTGCAGTAGAACTCACAGTAGCTAACAGGGAAAACCTAAATGTCCATTAACAGTTGAATCAATAAAAGAAAATGTGTCACATGCCATATAAGCCAACCCAAATATCAGCAGAGGCACCTAATTTTACAAAAAAATACTTCATTAAAAATGTGCTGCAAAACTTGGCTTATACATGAGTACACACAGTATATACAATGGAATACTCCTCAGTCAGTAAAGTAAATGACGTCTTGACATATGCTTCATTATGAAGCATGAAGACATTATTCTGGGTGAAATCGATCAATCAGAAAAGGACGAGACCCCGCGAAGCCAAGTCGGCTCTGGACCAAAATTGCCAGGGTCTGGCGTGCTCCGTGAGCCAGTAAGTGGGTGGGCCGCCAGCAGCCGACGCCGGGCTTTCGCCGAAGCCTGGCCTGACTGGTTCCTCCCGGCGGCGACTTCCTGGTGTGGCTGCTTCCACCACGAGCCCACCAGCCTGCCCAGCAAACGGCCCAGGAGGCACCTCGGAAGACAGGCCTGGACTACTGTAAGGGCCACAGCCCGGAAAGCCCCGTAGAGCACTTCCACTCTGCACTCGTGGGGTCTCCTGGAGTCGGAATCCACTTGACTGCAGCATGAACGCGGCTGCATCTTGTGGCTGACAAATGCTCACTGAGGACCCAGCCCAGCAGAAAGATGTCTCCCTCGCTCCCCACTGAATGTTGAGCCACCACCTGGATGACAGCGCCTCCGGGTGCCTTCCCCGTCCAGCTCCGGCAGCCCTCAGTCAGCGGCCTCTCGCAGGTCACCAGCAGCCTGTACATCAGCAGTGGTGCAGCTGCCAACAACAAGCTGCTGCTGTCCCACCACCAGATCACCACAGTCATCAACATCTCGGCAGAGGTGAACACCCGCTATGAGGGCATCCAGTACATGCAGGTGCCTGTGGCCGACTCCCCCATCTCACGCCTCTGCGATCTCTTTGACCCCATCGCCGACCACATCCACACTGTGGAATTGAGGCAGGGCCATACGCTGCTGCACTGTGCCGCTGGCATCAGCAGCTCAGCCACCTTTTGCCTTGCCTACCTCATGAAGCACCATGCCATGTCGCTGCTGGATGCCCACGTGTGGGCCAAGTCATGCCGACCCATCATCTGGCCCAACAGTGGCTTCTGGGAGCAGCTCATCCACTACGAGTTCCAGCTGTTCGGCAAGAACACTGTGCACATGGTCAGCTCCCCTCTGGGTATGATCCCTGACATCTACGAGAAGGAGGTGCAGCTGATGATCCCACTGTGAGCCAGCCCCAGGGCAGAGGCACCGACCTGCTGTAGACCGGAGCTTGAACCTTCCACTTGGGTTGGTTCAGAAAAACCAGACAGTGCCTTTTCTAAGGGAAAGGAAAGAAGAAAAGTTGTTGCAGTTTTGAACCTCACATCCATTATCCTGCAAGATTAAATTCAATAAATATTACATGATTAAAAAAAAAAGAAAAGGACAAATATTGTATATTCTTACATATCATATTTTTATATAAACCTCTAGGGTTTTTTGTTGTTATTGTTTTTGCTTTTATAAATCATGCAACCCTTTCATGCTTTAGCTTTCTATAAGTACTAGCAGTGAAACACTGGGTTATTAAACCAAAGGTCGGTGGTTTGGACCCACCCAGTAGCTCCATAGGAGAAAGATCCTGATGATCTACTCCCTTTAAGATTGTTATTAGGTGCCATCGAGTCAGTTCTGACTCATGTAAACTACTCTATGCAAACTAGAATAAACTACCACCAGTCCTGGGCCATCCTCACATTAATTTCTATGGTTGTGCCATTGTTGCAGCCATTGCGACAAACCATCTTGTTGAAGGTCTTCCTCTGTTTCACTGCCCTTCTTCTTTAGCAAGCAAGATTTTCTACTCCAGGGACCGGGCTCTCCTGACAACATGTCAAAGTAAGTGAGATAAAGTCTCTCTTGCTTCAGAGGAACATTCTAACTGTACTATTCCAAGACACACTTAGAAGTTCATGGTACTTTCAATATTCTCCACCAGCAACAGAATTCAAATGCATAGGTTCCTCTTTGGTCTTTATGAGGGTTACATAAGCTGGTGTTAATTTGAGGATTGAGAGTGTAAGGGTGGAGTCTAGCCTGTCAATCAATCAGGATATAGCCAATGAGGCCTCTGTGTGGGCATGGCCTTCTCCTGAGGACCCTGGGAACTCCTGTATTCTTCCCTGGAGAGGCGAACTAACACTCTCTCTCTCTCTCTCTCTCTCTCTCTCTCTCTCTTGGCTCACTCCCTGTGAGACATCCCTTTGTAGAAGACACATGGAGAGAGGCTGATGGAACAAGACCTTTGGAGCAGGAGAAGTCATGTGGAGACCGCTGGCAGCGCTTAGATGCTTACAACGCCACTGGATCCACAAGACTTCCCACCCACTCTCCTGTGATCTTCCTACATTTGGTGTCATTGCATGTGTTTTGTGAGTCTGAAGAGGACTTTATAGATTGGTATCAGACATATGGGCTAATATTGGAGTTTATGGACTAGATCTGGACTGGGCTGGAATGTTTTCTCAATATGCAATTGCTCTTGTAAATAAAGCTTTTTCATGTACACATATGAGTGTCTATGAATTTGTTTCTCTAGCTAACCCAGACTAGCACAGTATTTCTTATTCAATGTCCAACTTCTACATGCATACAAGGTGTTTGAAAATTTCATGGCTTGGGTCAAGTGCACCTTAGTCCTCAAAGTAACAACCTTGCTTTCCAACATTTTATAGCAGTATTATTCAGCAGATTTACCCAATGCAGTACATAGTTTGATTTCTTGAATGTTTCTTCTATGAGCATTGATTGTGGATCCAAGCCAGACAAAATCCTTGATGGCAGCAATCTTTTGTTTATCATGATGTTACTTGTTGGCCCAGTTGTGAGGACTTGGGTTTTCTTTAAATTGAGTTGTAATCAAAACTGAAGGTTGTAACCCTTGATCTTCATCAGCAAATGCTTTTACTCTCCCGCACTTTCAGCAAGTAAGGCTGTGCCATTTGCATATCTACAGCTTTTAAAAGCCTTCCTCCAGTCCTGATGTCACAATCTTCTGCAGATAATCCAGCTTCTCCAATAATTTGCTCATCGTACAGATTGAATAAGTATGGTGAGACTGTTATATACCTTTCTTGATTTAAACCATGCAGCATTGCCTTGTTCTGTTAGCACTACTGATCCATGTACAAATTCTGCATGCATTTATTATGGTCCACACAGTCAAATGCCTTTGCACTGTAAATAAAACATAGGTAAATATCTTTATGGTATTCTATGCTTTTAGGCCAAAATCTATCTGAAACCCCACAGAAGCAGTTCTACCCTCTCCTGCAGGGTTGCTCTGAGTCAGTATCGACTCCATAGCAGTGAGTTTGAGTGGATGGTCAGAAAGAACTCAATGGAGACTGAAAGCAAACAATAGTCTCCATTAACTGGTAAAGAAGGTCTACCTTATTCCATGATGCTCACCTTCCCGACACAATTGCTGAAGACAAATGGGTACATAGCAAATGTGGTGAAGAAAGCTGATGGTGCCTGGCTATCAAAACATATAGTGTCTGGGGTCTTAAAGACTTGAAGGTAAACAAGCAACCATCTAACTCAGAAGCAACAAAGCCCACATGGAAGAAGCACACCAGCCTGCATGCTCATGAGGTGCCAAAGGGATCACTTATGAGGCATCAAAGAACAAAAAAATCATATCATTGTATGCTCACCTCTCTGATA